TGACACATTTTGTCTTAGCATGTCATGATTCCTATTTTACCCATCACCCCTCAAAAATGTATGAAATTAAATGTAAAATACACTCTATAAAACCGTTATTGATGAAAAAGACAATAATTTTTATAAACTTCAATTTTGTTTGGTTACAGAGCTATTCAATAGAAAATCAGACCCATCCTGCCATATCCACTTGTCACATCCTCTCTTTCACAATTCATTGATAGTTCTCTTGTACGTTTCATTATATATTACCTATAACCAAGAGAAGTCAAGATTTTAATCTATCAAATGATGTATTGTATAATGTTGTATTCTGAACAGAATATTGTTAATTTCACTCACACTACAAGATTCATTCCCATTGGAAAGTTAACAACTAGCTTGGAAGAATTTGTAACGGCTCTTGTCACATTGTTAGAAAGCCAGGAAAATTTTGAGAGGTAAGTGAATTTATCTACTTTTTGTATGTTATCAGTTTATATTCTTCGGTGTATTATTTACTTAAATAAAAATTGTTTACTGCATTACTGTAACCACTAAAAAGAATCAGGCTTAACTGTCCTTGCAATCGAGGGCAAGAAATAAGAAGATTGTGTAAGTAATTTATTTCTTGTTTTTCATATTTATTCTTTATTTATTATACAAAAAGTAACTAAAATTAAAAGTATGGATCTTTTAAAGTTATTTAAGACTAGATTAGGTAAAATAAGTAATAATAATAATATAATTAAAATGCTTTATGAGGCACGCACGCAAGCAGCTTGTGGGTAATGTAATTCGATAGCGTAACGTGAGCTGCACGTTCCCCAAGTGATTTAGAACTTTTATGGCGGGAATAGCAATTAGACACAGGTAGAAGGGCAATAAAACATTAAAATTTAATTATAAATAGATGTATAATGTTACGAACTTAGAGCTACTTAGGATAAACAAATGTAGTTTCAGGTTACAATTTGAAGTCATTTTAGAAAGAAAAGAAGGTTAACTTAGGTTTATTTCGATTTTTTTTTTGTGGTTACGAGGTTGGCCGAATTGACCGATACCATTTTGAGATAGGGTAGAGAAAATAACATAAAAATTATAAGGATTTAGTGATTACACAAAGGAAATATGAGATTTTTTAGATCACGAAAAGTATTTTCAATTTTGACACGAAAATCACTTTACACTCAGACTAGTTAAAAAAAGGAATCAATATTTTCATGGACAAATTTAAGTAAAAATACTTCATTAAAAAATCTGATTTTTTGTGTGCAAAAAGACTTCTAATGTTTACTATAAGTCTACAAATTTTGTAAAGATACACTTAAAATATTAAAAGTTATTAGTATGTAAACTATAACGAGGTTATGAGGTTGGTCCCAGGGACTGAGCCCGTGTCAAAAGAGTTAATAAACTTTTGAAAATAACTTGCTGAAAGACCAGCCCATTGTGAAAGGGTTAAAAGTCAATATCAGTACATGTAATTCCAGACTAAAAATAATAATGTAGGAAACATTTCCTGGGGCCTAAAGGATATTTCATATTGAAAATCATGTGAAGACACGACATATCCTATGATGAATATTCTTAGTAACCAACATACAAGAGCTTATAATTAATGGGTCCTGGATAAAGATAAAATTAGAAGCAAATTCAATCCAGAAAACTAATATGAGATAACTATTTACTTACCAAGCTTACTAGGATACTTCAGGCCTCCATATCGTTTCCAGAAACTCCAGCATGGTTGACACAACCTACATTGTAAGTGTGGAGGACCCCAGGCATACCACTGGTGAGAACTTAAAGCTGTAACACAGAGGAATAAGACTGTGAAAAAGCACCTCTTACGTGACAATTATAACTACAAGCCATTTTTGTTTTCTCTTCTTGAACTGAGTATCTTAAACAGTTCTCATGTAAATTACCTTTAGCTAATCTTTGACAGAGATGTAAAATCAAAATATCAGAGAAGACATAAAACAAATATAAATATCTGCATATATATGGTATTACTAAATGATGTATCATTTCATTGAAAAATTTGAGAAACATACATAAAGGTTTAAAAAAATGATAAATGTAACAAATTTAAATAAACAAATGAAAGAAAAACCTAAAACTACAGCAACACCACTATGAAACAACCAGACTTTCTCATAATATTTTTTGCCAACAAACAACATAACTAACTTAGTAGTTTAATATACTTATTATTATTTACAAACTTGAAACTTTTACCAGATAGACAATGGCATTACTGATTATCATAAAATCTTGTGGGATCAAAGATTTATAGTATCTATCAAATTATAAAAACTGGCCATAAAATTAGCAGGTTTAATACTTCATTTCCTTTTTTTAAACAGTAATCTCTCTTTAGTGTTTTGACCAATTACTACAAAGTATAGGTTCTTGATGTGATCATATCTTGTCACACGTAAATTTGAGAAAGCTATAACTGAGTGAAAAAAAATAAGTCTACAGACATTATGCTATTCACAATTTGATAGGTTCTTGATGTATTTTACTTGCAAAGCACTAGTTTTGCATGAGACAAAAAAGGTAATAGAATGGGGAAAAAACAGTGAGAAAAGGATTAAATAATTTTATATTTTAAATATCTTATGACAAATCCTATTTACTCTTCTCAGCAAGAATACAACTTTAACTTTTTAATGTGGTCACAAAAACAATTTTCATTATTCTTGGGCTGTTCAATGATTTTTCCAGGTCTGCATCCAGCCGTTTTTTACTTACATAAAGAGAAGCAATGTTTAGAAAATTTAGAATCTTCAATTTACTCACTGTAGCAGCTCTCACATGGACGTCCTCCTGAAACCAGGTTTTCTCCATTCGGACCATTCAGTGTGGTGGGTTTGTTGTTACTATCCCAAAATTGCACAAAAAAAAATCAATCAACTAATAAAGGTCAAAAATTAGAGAATAAAGTATAAGAATTTAGCCTTAAATCTCAACCAGCACTCCCGATACACTTCTTGCATAAAATTAGCCTTAAGAATTTTGATATTCTTATTTTGTCCACTGTTTAATCTTAATAATGTTTCTAGCAAGAAAGATTTCCAATTTACTGTTTATATTTTAACATTAAAAAATTAATGGATTATTATGTTATCAGGAGAAATATTTTGTGGGGAAAGTTAAACATCTACATTAATTTATTTATGGAAGATTTTTATGAATGATAACATGATATAATTCTTACTTTCTTTTTTTTACCGACATCATTTAAATCATATCAGAAAGAAAAATGATAACACCAAACTCACTAATTAGGAATGTAGACTTGTTTGAGCTTGCTCTCGGCTTCTACTGCCTTCACCCTTTTCTGTTGAACATGACGATCTGTGGTTTTCCACATATAATAGTAGTCTACTATGTTTTTCAAACTCTTCCAAGGAAGCTGTAAAAAAATTGAGTCAAGTGTTCAACATAAACAAAATAAAGTTAAAAGACATAGGTTTAAACATACAGAATGTTTTTTTGTAACATAAGATACATGAAATTCACGTAAAAATAAGGTACACAAGGTAATAACAAAAACATATCTTTTGAGTACCTAATAATGAGATATTACATCAAATAACTCCTTAAGCTTATTACCTTCTCACTTATAGATGTAACCCATTTTTTGAATTAAAAATAAGACATCTGACTTGTTACAAAATGTCATAAATGTATGACAGAAAAAAAAGCCACAAAAAGAGAACAGCAAAATAAAATTACAGAGATGGACAAAAAGAAAATCTGATGATCAACGGAAAAAACAGGTTGATATTTTTCAATTAATGCTCACCCAGCTATAATTTTAACCAAGTTTTTGTTTTTAATAAAAACAAAAGTATCAAGTACTTTATTGTATTACTATTATTAATTCACTTTCTTATGTGACTAAAAAAAATAATAAATGCTTTTGAAGAAGCATTTTCGTGTACATACAAAATCTTGCCTAATGTCAATGAAGTCTTTGCCATATTTTTCAAGGGCTTCTTCAAAAAGATTTGCTTCAGAGGCTGACCACTCTTCCATCTCATCTCGACAAAGAATAGGACCTTTTGACGTGACTAGGCTAGAAATTGCACTTGCAATGTCGTAGTTGTGTTGGTGTAGAATGTCCATTGCATGAAACTGAATAACGTACATAAGCATTTATCAGCATTCTATTTAACTTCCAATTAGCTAGATTATTATTTCACAAATAAGATAATCCTCTACAGTATATCCATTTTATAATCACACCTAGAATTTAATTTAAGTTCACTTGCAAAGCTAGAAATTTCAGGCTAAGATTTCACTCTTGCTTCAATAAGCAAGATTTATCCTTAGAAAACTATTTTGAAATTAAAACCTTAATCTTGAATGAACTTTCAAAAATAAATTTACAAGTGTAATATGATGAGTTTAGAAAAAAATTATAAAAACAAAAACATGTGAAGGGAAGAGAACAATCTAATTTTTACTTACTTAAGACTTGTCACATAAGTCAAATACTATAAATACATATACATTTTATTATGATAGTACTACAATATTCCATACATAAACTTTTTGCTTGTTTTTTCAACAAGTAAGGTTAAGAGATTCTAGGCTTTCTATAAGATACAATAGAAGTGTGCTATACGAGAGCTATTTGGTAAACAGGAAAAATTCTTACCAAGGTGATATCACGGGAAGCTGCTGCAGCGCTCATGTGGAGACTTGGCTGCTTCACAGAACTTGAACAATCCAGGGCTCTGGCAAAGGTACCTATAGACCTGCAATGTAAAACCGTATTTGAAAGCTTCTCGCTCAAAAAATTTCAAACCTCTCGTCGCCAGTAGAAAACGTGGGAAGATATTTGACATTATTTGTTTTCAACTTTTTTAGACATTCAGAAACTCTCTTTAAAAAATGACACAAATAATATATCAATAAATAAGTCTAGAAACTAAAAGAAACTCTAAAATAATGTGCATTTTAACAAGATGAATAGTATATGGATAAATAAAAATATTAAAAAAGGCATCTTTATCTATACAACTGTTGTGTTAATTTACCAACATTCAATTGCCTACTTCCGTTAGATGTTGAAAAAGCCTATGATATACCCTAACCATAGTTGACTGTCTCTCACAATGTGTCATTCAATTCTGACACAATTTGATTTTATTTTGTTTGTAGGTCTATACCTAAAAGTTCTGAATTTTCTGTCATTTCAAGTTTTTTAAATTAGAGCTGGGCCATTACCTAGACTATTCATGAGCAACAATTACATTGATTAGTGTCATGGAAATAATCAACTATGATATTAGTGTTTCCAGTCATTACTGTTGTCAGTTACTCCTACTATACAAGTAATTGGAATATTTCAGTTATTAATTGTCATTAATATTTTATACTAATTCAGGTTGTTCAGCTTAATTTATTAAAAATAACCAACTTCTTAAAATTAGTGTTTCCGATTGTTATATTTTCAGTTATTCCAACAATCCAAATCTTGTGAGAGTAATTGATCAATTAAATTTAATAATATTTTTTACACCTAATTTTTTTCCAAGCTCTGATTTGAGATACCATTAGTGTTTACAATATGAGACACAATTTGTCATTATAGACTGGTTATCAAGAAATAGTTCAACATTTCATTTTGTGGCTCCATCAGTTCTTATATATATATACTGATACAAAATTAGAAGTTTTCATCTACAAAGACTCATTCAAGAAAGTTCTACATATCAAAATTGGTTAAATTACTTGTTTAAATATCAGTCCTTCAGTTATGTTATTCTCACTATTAGAGGATTTTTATACTTTTTTAGTTTTTTGAATACTTACCTACAAATAATAAGGAACTGGTCTATTTGTCTGTCTGATAAATTATGATGAGGTGTATAAACTATAGTTTCAAGATCTTCCAAACGTCTGCCATCTTCTTCGCCTGGATAAATAAAATAGCTTTATTAAGCTAGAATTAAGCCTTTTAATTAACACTAAAGCTGTTCATTGCTCCAAAACCAACTAAAAAAAGAGACCAGGATAATCATCTGCTTTATACAGCACACACTACTATTTAGAAGAAAAATCAGGGTGTGTGTATGTAGTGAGGTAGACATAATTCTGCCAATCAATAAGTAGAATACATGTGGAACAAATGTAGACCATGTTGTTACATCCACCTTCCTGATGTACCACATTCACAACTGAATAAATGTCAGAGTATCCAGTCAATGACAAGTGAATTTTGGTTAAGATGGTCAAATGAAATTTAACTGGCTGTCCCATGTGACAATATTCAACTAATGATAAATACAGCAGATCCTTTCATTGTTTACATAGCAGAAGAAAAGCATTCAAGGTGACAAATGCAAAAAAATGTATGCTGAAAATCAATGAATGAAATGACGAGTGTATAAAACTTTTACAATGAATCTCGCTAGATAAAACTGTGGAAAATTTGATGGTTATTGGAAACATATATATACATATATATTTCATTTTCTTCTAATCTATTGAAAATGAGCTTCAGTGGACCTTCCCCTTATCCTCCAGACTAAGCAGCTTTTCCAGCCTCCCCTCCCTATCCAGTCTCATGTCGGATTAAGTAATACATATA